AGAGAGAGAGAGAGTTGAGCAAAGGTTGCTTCATATATGCCAAAGAATAAAAAACAACCACCACAAAAAATAAACTAAAAACATGCATATACCACGATACCATGTAAAATTAATAAAAAGGGAAAAAATAAACTAAAAACATGCATACACTACAATACCATGTAAAATTAATAAAAAGGGCCCATCGATTTTAGGTTTCGAAAATGACCCCGTGTCTCTTTATAAACAATCCCTTTCTTTAATTAAGATATTTTTGACCCCTCAGTAATATCAATACCGTAAAGAGCTTTAACCCCTGAAGTATCATTTTCTCGTATCAAAATCATGCCTCCTAGCAACGAAGACATGACTCTCCCTACATTAAAAAAGAGGATAATTTCAAAGCACGCATAAGATATTCTTCTTGATTTGAAGAAGATAGACTGGACTTTCTCCTAGACTTTAAATTGGGGTTCGACTTCGACTAAGTCTAGGTCTTTTGTAGAGATCGGTTTGAGAAAGAAACAAATCAAAAAGTAAAGATATTTTAAAGTGGTGGAGAAAGTATATTGATTAGGGAAACAACCAAGAAACATTTGAAATGTCTAAAACGTTTTTGGGAGAGTGAAGATGCTTAGGTTTCCCTTTCACCAAGTGGGAGGTCATTTCTATTGCTTGGAACTCAAGCATCGTAGAAAAGTATACTATCAATTTTAGAAAGAGAACTAGAAATTGATAGACAGAAAATGAGAGAGAGAGAGAAGAGACCGATATAGAGAGAGAAAGTATGAGAGCTTTAACGATGAAAAGAAAAACACTCCTTGATTGCTTATACTACCCCAAACATCCGATTGGCTAGTTCGTCTTAACAAGTACAAAGGTTTCTCCCGTCATAAGAGTTTTTTTGGATAATTCAGTGGGGAAGACATGCCCCTATCCATTTTTTTAAGTAGATTAGGAATTAGCTTTTTGAAGCTATTAGTGGGGTGGTGTTAGTGGTAGGAAGGAAAACCACAACATCTTAGAGATTAGGGTGTGGGGTTGCTACCACCTTGACCTGAGCCACTTTCTCTCCCGTAATTTGAGTTTCCAATCATTGATTGCTTATACTACTCTAAACATCCGACTGCATTTTCCAACCCAAAACTTTGCGGTCAGTCTTCCAATCTTTTAGCCGGGTGCAACTGAATGGCTCCAAAGTTGGTCAAGAGGTATCTAAATGCCCCAAATAAAAAAATATCATAAACTAGATCTGGAAGTCCAGCTGGTGTCTAGTTGACAAAACTCTAGAAACACAGCCACATAGTGTTTCGATTTTCAAAATATTTCAAATCCAAGATTTTGAGCCCTTTTTCGTGGAAAATAAGCCTATGATTTTGATAGTGAATTAAAGACTAAGCTTAGGAAACAAGTTCCAAACAAGATCGAACTGGACATGCAAAGAACTCAACTTTTCAAACTTCAGCCAAACCCTTGTTCAATAAAGTAGTCTTGACAAATCCAAGAAATTTATATTCAAATCCAATAAATTTTTTGTTTTTTCTCTCAAATCAAATCGTTTAAGTTCAGGGGTGCAAGAAGTGACCCTAAACACTAAATTTCTTAGGACAACATGGCTTGACCAATTGAGATTTTTAAGTGCACCTTACTAAATGTAAAACTTATGCCGCGTTTTATAGGACATCATTTTTACAAAATTTTTAAGTGCATCAATTGAGATCAATTTCATAGGACAACATGGCTTGATCCATAGGATGTAAAAATTTAAGTAGGACAT